CCGCACTAGTGGTCGAGGAGGATACTGATGGTGTTAGGTACGGAGCGACATATTAGGCTGCGAGACGTGCCGGGGGGTATGTATTGGATTGTCGAGCAGTACTAGGTTGCAGGACATATCGAGGAGCATGAGTTGTTCATTACCCTGTCTTCTATGTGCGTGTTGAGGAGTATGATTTAGTTGTTATGTTGTCCTAGTTGCTATGCATGTCGAGGGGAACGTAGTTCCCTATCCCTTTTGCTCGTACATGCTGTGTTTTGGTCGTTACCAGTGCTGTGTGAAATTGTTGTTAATTTGTTGTTTGATTATGTTAATGACTGAATCGTTGATTGATGTGATAGGCTTATGGCCAATGTTGATTTATGTTGAGTTCTTGTGATGTTGTGATTGCTGTTATGAATTCTCGTTGATAATGCGAAGTTGCAGGGAATTTACATGATGATGAATTACCTCTATTTGCTGGTGATAATGGTGACGTGGTCTTATGAATTGCGATGGATGATGATTGTTATGAATATGTGATAATGCATTCATATACATTTGCATACTCTATGATGGCCTGGATTGGAAAACTGCGAAGAAGGCTTATGCCTTGTTGATGCCTCTATTTATTGGCAGATTTTAAGATGGGAGTTCTGCTCTAATGGTACCTGTTGTACCCCAAAATTTTCCGTCTCATTTTACTCAATACATGTCCATTGAGATCTTCAATTTGCTCAAGTTTGCCCAAGAGTGGACCAGACAAACTCTCTCCTAAGGCAATATACCTCAAATTGGGGTTTCCATTTTCATCAATATGGGTGAACCACAAATGCCTCATATGCTCTCCATGGTCTTAATATGTTCTCAATACCCTCCATGTCAAATTTCAAGCCTTGCACAAGAAGTTTACTCAGTCAACTGCTCAGATGCTTGAGAATCGACTGTACTAGGTCAAAAGTCAACTGTGGCCCATATACAGTCAAATTTCAAGATTTTTGGGCAACGTAAACATTTTTAAGTTATATCCATCATTTGGTCAAGGTTTGATCATGATTCCTCAAGGAATGCCCCAAATTCATCAAAACCCAAAAGTTGCTAAATTAGGGTTTCTTTGGAAAAGTCAACCAAACTTTGAGCAAGCACAACTTCCTCATACCTTATTAGAAATTTTCCATCCAAGGCTCATTTTGAAGAGGATTCAATTTCCTACAATTCATCTTCATCCCTCAAGTTCAAAATATTCACTCACAAAAAGATATGAATTTCCATATTATAGGTCCTTTTGAAAAGTCAACAAAAACACCTTTTGGGTAAAAGCTTCTTACATGAACATGGAAGACTCAATTGAGATGAGACCAAAAAGGTTGCTTAGGGGACTACCTAAGCTTTCTAAAAAGTCCAAGAACATCTCTCTAGAGTTAAAATTGGAGGAGATATGCCTTGTAAAAGTTGACCCTTTTTACAAGATTGCCAAAAGTCAAATGTGCTCAAAAATGCATTTTTTTGCTAAATGGGCCTAACTTTTTATGCTTGCACCTCACTTATAATATGGTCCACGACTCAAATATTCACCCACACATTATTTGCTTCATTTTTCAATTTATTTTGGTTTTTTATTAATTAAAAATTGAATTAAATCAAATAATTGATGAATAATAGCAAATATATGATTTGATTTGGTTTTTTAACAGGTTGGCAATCAAAATATGTTGAGTTATCAAGGCCAAAACGAATCAAGCATAATTGGTACAAGAAAGGGATGATTTGGCTCAAAATAGAAAGTTTACATGTAGCTTGAAAATCAAATCAAATCTCTCATAATTGCAAAGATTCAATCCAAGTTTGTAACCCTAATTCATTCCTAGATATATATTGGACAAGAACAAAGCATGACACAAGGGTTAGCAGTCTTAAAAAAGGCAGAACAAATTCAAAAAATTTCAAAGTGTGACTCGGTTTTCATTCAACAGGCCATCTCAAAGCCATTTAAAGCCAGCAACCTCTTCCTGGGTGTGCATTGAAGCCAATTGGATCGTTTGCAAGGCCTGAAACACCCAGAATCGCGCGTTACAAGTTCACTCGATTTGCTTTTTTTCAAAATTTATTATTGTATTTCTTGTATCATTAGCATGATTAATTGGTATATTTGTGATGTTTGAGATGTTTGCAAGCTAACTGCATGATTCAATTGAATTTTCGACGCCTATATGTGCCTTTTCTATTGTTAGGGTTTGCGTGTGCAGTTTAGGGGTTTGTTTTACAGGTTAAATTGGTCAAAAAGAAGGGTACCATGATGTTCACAAGATCAAAACGAGTTGATCTATATAGTTAGATTTCATTTATCTTGCGTCTTGTGGATTTTTGAATGTTACAGGGCTATGGTTACGAAAATTGTTCGTGGATATATGTGAACACCTAACACGACGGAGCCTTGAAGAAGACGACTAGGTGGCAGTCCCCCATTGGATTTTTTGAATCTTCGTGCGTTTTGTTTTGTTTGTCAACTAACCAATTTTTTTTATATATTATATATTCTTCTCATTATACTTACAACTAACAACCATAGCTCAAGTGGCAACGCTTCAGTGGTAGCAAGCGTGAGGACCTGGGTTCGATCCCAGGTCCCAACAATTTTCTTTATTTCATTTTCTTTCATCAGATTCAATGCATCCCAATCCCAGGCGCCTTCCATACACCCTTGCATCCAGCCTCTTGATCACCATGGCATCAGATCCAACGCCTCATCAAGGAGAGACCCATGGTAGACCCTCAGGAGAGTGCTATACAGGATCTCACGTAGGCTGGGCCAACAACCTTGGGCCCAACAATTTCAGAATCATACCCCCTTTCTACTTCAACATACATGCCCAATTCTTTCTTTTTTATACTTGTTTAATTTCTTTATTTATTTTCTTTTTTCTTAATTAACACAAAAATCATTTTCTGTTTTTAATCAAAAAAATCACAACAAACTACAAAAATCTTTTTTCTTCCAATTAGGGTTTAGGTTATTTTTCAACATCCCTCGTATTTAATTCGCCGCGCATTTAATTATTTCTTTTCCATTATTTTTGTAACTGTTTCGAGCTTGTAATAGTTTTAATTAGGGTTTTAAATTCCGTATTTTTATTTTTAGCCGAGACAATTATGTAACTGTCAAAGCCTTGTAATAGCTAGGTTTATTTTTTGCACTTTAAATTCCTGCAAATATTTAACTGTCTAGATGTATGCTAATAGGATTGTATGGCAAGAATATCTGGAAATTTAAACGGTAGATCACCTAATGTGCAAAGACTAAATAACTGAAACAATTCATATGCACATATTCACTCCTAGGGTTTACCTCACTTCGGTTGCCTTCGGTAAACAATCATTAAGCATAGGAGATTTTAGTGGTCGCCCTCCAGTCTAAAAGATCAAAGTGTCCCATTCGAATGTTGCCTCGGAAATGTTGCCTCGAAAAAGATCTTAAGACTCTAGGGTTACTACTAAAGTTTTCTAACTGTTGCTTTAGTGATTGTATTTGTCCCTTTCGAATGTCCCTTACAAACTCCAACGACGGGGCTACCTACTCCTTAATAGTAGGATAACACTGTCTAAAGGAAACGAGAACAAACAATCTTTTTTCGAGTAGGTAGAATCTTAAGTACTTGCTCAATAAAAACTTTTCACACAAACACCTTTCAAAACAAATTTTCAAAACAAACTTCATCACACTCTTGAGGACTGATACAAGGGTTATCACAAAGTAAAACATTTTCAAAACAAGCACACACAAGCAATTTGAAAAATGAGCAAGTACCTAAGAGCCCATGGAAAACCATGGATAGAAAGGGTGCTAACACCTTCCCTTTCTATAATCTACCCCCCGTACTCAGAATATCTCGAAAAAAGGTTTTTTCTGTTCTTTTTCCTTTTCCATGATTGGATGAAATAAAAGTCGGTGGCGACTCTTGCTTACCGCGACATTTTGTGAACAAAAAACGCAAAACACAAACCAGTAAAAACATTCGATTCTGCCACCGTATCACAGTACCACATGCATTCACATATTATCGAGTCACATTCCAAGTAGTATGATTGAGCTGTTGTGTTGATGAACTAATTGTTGTATTTTGTTGATATCCAGTTGTGACTGTTGTTGTTTATAAGTCGTGAAGTGGTGATTTTGCATGAACTGATTCTAATATAATATTTATCATACGTTCTATTATAGTGTTCGATATCTCACCCCTTCTGTTTGAATGTTACCCTTATGTTGGTAACGTGCAGGTAATCTAGAGTGAAGGCGGTTTACCTTCAGTTGTTCGAGTCAATGTCATTGCTCTGATACGTAACACTCGTTGGGATGAACACTTGTTGCTTTAGAAATCATTATTTTAGTTGTTGAATTCTAAGTTGATTGTTGTTATGTGCTTGTTATTCAGAAGTTGCTTTCATGTTGGATAAAGATGTTATTATGATTCCGCTGCGTAGTTGTTCAAGTTGTTGGTTTAAAAGATTAACTTATTTTACTGTTGGTTCATCTGATGTTTTAAAGTGTTATGTATCCATGTTGAATACAATGGTTTTTAAGTTGAATTTGTGGCATCCTGATTCAGTTGTATAATTTTCATAACTCTGATTTACATTTATATTTGTCAGCTATAATTGGGGTGTTACACTACACTGCATGCCACCAATGTCCTCAGGTTGCTAAAGGCGAGAGACCTCCTTTTTTCTGCCAGGATGGACACCGTACTGAAGTAGAAATTTGGAGCTGGGGCGTTACCTATATTTTAGTAGTTTAATGTCTTTTTTCTGTTCCATTTTATTGATGACCTTTAGTTTTGTGGTTGAATTATATATATATATATATATATATATATATATATATATATATATATATATATATATATATATATATATATAAGATTTTTGTTGAAGTAGTTCATGAAGGTAACACTGCAAAATTTGTGTTATGGGATCGCGAGGCAACCAAGCTGTTAGATACTTATGCCGCACAAATGCGAGCAACCATGCTACAGGTTTTTATTGGCTGCTTGATTAGTGACTATTAATTTGTTGTCTACATTAGTTAAACCACCTTAATGTTGTTCCAACTCAAAATTATTACCACCTTCATTACTACTTAAGTTTCAGGCTGGAATAATAGACCCACATGAGTTTCCACTTACCCTTGATGCAATGTTGAGCAAAAAATTTGCGTTCAAGGTAAAGTGGGACCCGAGATGGAAAAGCTCCTCCGTTATCCAGTTTATTAAGGATAATCAGCTCATCACTATGCTTGAAGGACCTCCAGCAATAAATTAGGTAACCATCTTCTTCTTCGTTTATTAAAACAAAATGTAATGTTCATCATAGTCTATATTACTAATGTTATAATCTCCTCATAGCCAGCCCCTGTCATTCTAGACAACTCAGTTTCAGCGTAGGTTCATTTATATCTATCAAGTTCCTTGTGTTTTTCTTCTATGATTCACATTAATTACTTTATTACTAATGTTGGTATGTCTTGACAGCAAAGCCCACTCAAGCTAGATACCTCAAATTCCATGCAGGTTCTTTTGATTTATTTATTCCTTGTGTTTTAATTTTTAGCCATTCCACATCTAAAGTGATTCAATAGACACCTTACTCATTCATCACAACCTTTGAATTCAAATAACCCCTTTGTAACAGATATTGGAGAGTGTTGGCGAGGACCTTAAATGTGAACAGCTCAATTCCGTTGCGGTACTTCTTTATCCTGACTACTATATTTTCTATTCTACACACTTTGCCAACCTTGGTCATTATGTAATTTCCGACACTTTGCAGGAAGGTGAAATTACATCTCCACACGTTCCCGATCCTACTACCCCTAAAGATAATGTGAAGAGGATGTCTCCAGACAGTTTTATCAATTCTTATGTCAACCATATTATCGAAGGAGATCTATCTTCAACTAAATTGAAGAAAGTGACCAAACAGGGAAAGAAAACTGATGTATGATTCAATTATTACCCTGGCTGTGTAGCATCGTTTTGGGTCCTTGATACAATACAAGACATCATCAAAAACAGTTTAACAATTATTGTATCTGATTGACAACTATGTAATCCCTTAGACAACCTTTTGAACTGGAATTAACATCCCAACAACATGTTGGGCTCTATATTGGATGCTTAATGATACAACTTATTTATTTTTAACTTGGGTTATGTATTAATGTAATTTATGTAGTCTAACATTTTCTGCAATCTACTTTTAGAATCCATGTTATATAATATTGCCCAGTTCTCACAAATTGTAAATATGGTGTGCAATCAGTAACATAAATATTTTTCTATTCTTCTTTATTTTAATGGATAACACTCACCTAAGACTATCCAAATCATGGAGGGATGGACCTTCTATTGACTGAATTCATAAACCCTAATTACTTTATATTTCATCAATGAAAGGGATAGGATGATGGATGTACCAACATTCCTTCTCATACGGCTCTGCTTCGGTGTTGTTAGTAAAGCCCTCGAAATAGAATGCATTGTAGCAAACTAATGTTGTGCTAAAAACATTCAATTCATATCACATATTCTACTTTATTGCAAACTGTTTTTTTTAAAGGGTTGTGCTTTAAACATTAAATTATAACTCTTATGTAAAATAAAAGGTGATGCGTAAACAAAATACTATAAGAGAATTTTCTTAAGTAATATAAGTTAACAAATATACTTACAAACCACTAGACAAGTCACATATGCATATGTATATTGACTATCATTCCTGGAGAGACATATCCCTTCATGCACAACACCAACCCACTTGATATCTTCTTTTGCTTCCTGCTATATATGTTGTATTAAACGATATTGTTTCATCATTGTACTTGGTTGCAACTTTCAATACATTTCTATCTTTCATAATTATAAGAATTTAAATAAATATCCACATCTATATAAATTTATCATAAAATTTGAATTACCACTTTTGGCCACAAAAATACCCGCCAAATATTTCAAACTAAATTCATTTCTTCTCCACCAACGATACGAAAATTGAAGTTTACCAGGTAACATTTTCTGCTCTCCTCCTAATTGCAATCAAAATGTATGATACTTTCCTCTGTACTCAAGATTTGTTTCACTTCAAAAAGGCTGATCCAAATATTTTTAACATAGTTTTGACCTGTGTACATTCTGTACACAATTGTTATTACAAGTTTACTGTCAAAGCTTTTAAATTCCTAACTATGTCGACTGATGTTCTTGCTCAGTAAATTCAGGCTGTGACAAATTGGGTCTATTACAGATGGATGATAACAACAACACCCCTGCTTCAATTGTAAGAAATAGGAGAAGGTTGATGTTAGTGGACAAGAGACATCATAGTTCGAGTTCAAACAAGGAGAATGTGATGACTGCATCATCCACAACTGCTATTCATGTGACAACATTCTCCCGCTTACATAATACAACATCCTTGACAAATATGGTTTACACTACTCCAACCGATGTGAGTCAACGTTTATTACATGGTGTCGCCCCTAACAAGAAGAGAAGAATTGATATGATTTCTGGGATTGATTTGCTATCCACTTTCAATCCCGTGAAATTTTGTCACCAGTTAACCTTAACGCTTCTAATTGGACTATTAAACTACCTATTATAGCTACTACAATTCCTCCATACTCAACGACACTTTCACAAAATGGTCATTGACTCATGCTAAATGTATCTCAACCTCAACCTCATACTTCTGTTTCCTTCTCTATAACCGACATTATCGGTAAATTTCCTACCAACACGCAATGTAATGGGGGAAACAATTACCAACATAACTAACCAATCAAATCCCTTTCCCCAACCAGCAACCGACCGACAAACAAAATTTGTTGCAACTACCTCTAATCACAATGTATCGTCTACCTCCACCGGTACCTCCTCAGCAACCATGCTTCTGCGCAGTCAACGTAATGTCATAAATCACTCCCATACTGCAACTACTAATGCATATACGACACACCTTTACCGACAAATTCCCCCAGATAAATCTTCATTAGATGGAAATTCCGGTTCTGATGATGATCATAGTTTGGCAAATTCATCTGATTCTGATGTTGAACCCTTGAAAGATACTGTTGAGGATCACCTTCAAGTTTATTTCAGTTCCTCAATTTTTAACCTTTTTTCAAAATATTAATGTGATTTTAACTCAAAGTCTATGTACACGCAGAATATTCGAATATCGAAAACCCTGTATGGCAATGCGAGCATTGCAACGCGTCTATATGGTATCAAGAGCATAAAGGCAAACATAAACATACCAATGTTACTAAGTTTCATATCTGTTGCGGAAGTGGAAAAGCCGTGCTTCCACTCATGAGTCAGCCTCCGCCTATGTCGCATAAACTTCTTCTCAATAGGATATCTCCATATAGTATGCATTTTCAGTGCAACATAAGAACTTACAATGCAATGTTCTCTTCACTTCCCCCGGGATGAAGTTTAACACGATATCTACCAAGGGACACAATCCTCCTACTTTGTGACTTCATGGTCAAGCATGTTACTGAATAGGAACATGCTTCCATAAGTTGAGAATCCTCCTCAATACGCCTAGCTCTATATCTTCAACACGGATAATAAGGTTCAAAACAGAATAAACTATTTCAGGTAAAATTTGGACTATCACGTTGTATGAAACTTGTGTGATAGTCAGTCACATAATTCCTGGACTATATATTCTGCTAATTTCATTTATGAATGCCAAATGCAGGGACAATAAAAAATAGAAACCTAAATTGTCACAATTCTGAAACATTTGTTGGACGAGAACAATGTCCATGCTAAAGCATTTCTAAAGCATTTAGAAATGTAAGGGATGTTTTGAAGGGAAATACATTCCAAGACTTGAAACTCAAGCTGATTTCCAGTCGACCTAGCAACGGTCGTGTGTATAACATACCCACCATGTATGAAGTCGCAACATTGATTGTGGATGACATCAACTCTGTGGAGCTCAGGGACATCATAATCCATAAATGCAACACTGGATTGCAAAGGATAGATGAGTTTCACCCAACATATCTTGGCTACTAATACCCATTATTTTTTTTGTATGGTGAGGATGGTTATCGAGATGACATTCTTCACAAATACAAGCACACAAAATAGGTCAACAAAACTAACCATCAAACAATTAAAGATTGGCTATGTTTCCTTCTACAAGAGCGCATTGATGAACCTAAGACTTTTCTTCACTCGCGACGTATTTTACAGGAACACCAAAGTGGTCAGAACCAAATTTTGTCTTCAGAATTATGGGCAACAACCTATCTGAAACACAAAGCTTTTCTTCTGATATAGAACTACTATTGAAGGAATATTTATTTTCTGATATGAGAGATGAATATTATGTTAAAAATATGTTTCATTTCATATTCTTTCAATAGTGGATTCTTGTTTTCAGAATGATCGACAACAACCTATCTATAGTAACAAGTCTTTGACATTGTAAGTGAAAGTTTTTCTGATGAAGATATCAAAAGATTTCCTGATGTTGGATCTTGAAATCATATATTGTGACACAACCTATCTAACTCTCAATTTTTTAGTTCTTGAGCTTTGATTCTTTTCTTGTTGCTGGATTGTTTCTAGTTGAGGAGTGATAATGATCCAGAAGATTCTTCTTTGTTGTATAGTCATAGTCTTTCAAATATTTGAATATTGTCTTCAGATATATAAGCAACAGATTTTCTGATGAACAATTTCTTCTTTGAGTGAAATCTCTTCTGATCTACTTTGTCTTGAACTTGTCTTGATTCTTGATAATCATATTTTCTACGCTGCATATCTGATGTATGATTTCTGAAGCAACAACTTATATCAGTACATCTGATTTTGACGTTGAGTTCCTTATTCCCGATCTCTTGAATTCTGATCTTTGGATTAAGCTAAAAGCAACAACTTAATGTCAGCTACATCTTTTGTTGTTTGATCATGAATTCTTTTCTTTCTTTGGTTGGAAGCATATATGTTTTCTTATCTGAGAGCAACAATTTCCCGAGAACATACTTGATTCCCTTTCTGATGAACATTCACCATTCTGTAGAACTTCTGATGTTTTTATAAAAATGGTCTCAATAGTTCTTCTGTTGAGTGCACTGGTTCTTCTGATGATATTTGTCTTCTTGTGAATATTACTTCTTTTGAGTATATTAGCTTGAGAAGATATCATCCTTTGATCTCGTCTTCTTATGGACTTTGAGATGTTTATTAGAAATAAGTCCACAAGATCTTTCTTTCTTTAATCCTTTCTTCTGATGGAATACTTCTGATGTTGAATGAAGGTGTATATTCCATGAACTTCTCAAAGTCTTCAGAATCTTGACGCTGTCTTCAGATACACGAGCAGAAACTCTTCTGATGAGGAAATCTTGACTTGTGATCTTGGAGTATAAGCTTTCTCTATATGTGTTCAGAATATTGACTTCGTCTTTAGAATCATAATCAGAAACTCTTCTAATGAACTAGTCTTAACTTTTGATCTTCTGTGATAGAAGCTTGTTTCTTGTCTCCTCTTGATTTCCGATCTTGAAGCAACAACTTATTAGCTTTCTTCTTGGAAACTCACTGAGATTCTTTTCTTGTTGAATATTCAGCATTCTATAGAACTACTAATGTTTCATTAGAAACATAACTCAATGGTTCTTTATCTGAGTGGTAATGTGATTCTGATGATATCTTGATTAAGACTATCCAGAATACTAATAATGTATCTACACACTCAATGAAACCATTAGAACTAAAATTGTTCTGCATAAAATATATGCTTGTTATCATCAAAGCTTAGAGATTAAACACAGATCCAAATCTTGTTCTTACAGTTCAGTTTGTTGAAGGCAAGATGTTTTACTCAAGTGCCAGAACAGGAACTGGTCGAAATGGCCGCATGTGGTTTAGACTACTCCATTAGAAATAAGTTAGATACCCATGTTTTAAGAGACATTG